CCAGCAGCAGTAGGACCTCGAGGCGCATTGCACAAATGTCGTATGCGGTGTATGGCTCGACACCTTCGTCCGGTATGGCGGGCTCGCTCAGCATATGCGTGAGGCGATCCACTATCCACTTTTGTACATCCAATTGGTCCTGGTCAGAGTTCCTAATCGGACCAAAAGAATCTGCACGAATACTTGTTGACAGGATGTTCATCAAAAGCAAAATGTCACCCAGTGGATGTGACGGGTGCAGCATCACGAGAATGAACGAGATCCGGATATTTTGCCAAAATAGCTCCATTGCACTTTTGATGTGCAGTACTCCACACGCGATTTGGTAAAGTAGACGCATGGCCCCAGTCGAGTCGACTAGGGGCTGCAGATCTGATTGTGGTGTCTGTCGAGTAATTCGTTTATCTCGTGATGCCGGGGCGTACTTGAAGCGAGGAACTGCATTGACTTCCACGGTGTCCTGCAAGACTCCAACTAAAGGTGTAATCAGTTCGGAGAGTGGGACGTCATCTGACATCAGACTATATTTTGTGATAGCTTCGAAACGGGGAATCGGCTCGTAGAACTTCTCGTTGATGGCGCGCTGCCATAGTGAGGCGATCGCTTGCGTATATTCTAATACGTAACTGCTCGGGTCAGCATGGCCCATGATCTCCATAATGAAGCTGGACATGGGTCGATCCGGTTCCGAGGGAAACGCAAGCTTTGACATGGCTTCGAGATCGGTTTCTTGGTTAGGATGCATACGGTGACTCAAAAGTCGCATCATAAATCGCTGGTTGCGACCTGCCTCTGCAGACTTGCGCTTCACTTCATCGACTTCGGTCGAAATATCAGTCGCATCAGTCATGACAAGCTCCACACCAGCAGTATTCAGCTGTAGTGGCGCAGGGCTATCCTGGCTTGATTGCCGTTTACGTTTTCCTGGAACTGTCGGCGTGGCTCGCTTGGAACGTGCTGCTGACTTGCTGGGCGATACCATGGCGATTTCATCATCGTCAAATCCATCGCGGAGAGGAAGCACCCGGGACTTTCGAGGAGTCACTGGGGCTTCCATCTCGCGATGCTTGGATTTGTAGTTCCGAAGCTGGTAGGCTTCATCCACAAGGTCTTGCTGAAGAAATACATTCTCTGTCGCCAATACCTTGCCTTCGGACATGGCTGCCTCAACCTCTTGCTTGTGTTTCGCCACTTCGTCGGCCATGGATTTCCGTAGAGCCGCTATTTGCCGGTCATAGTCTTGTGTCATCGCTGCCTGCTTCCTTCGAATGATCGAGATTTCACCGGATTTCGTTTCCACTTGCATCCTCGCATCGGCTAGCTCCTGTAACATTTGTTCTCTTTCTTGCTCCATCTATAAGGGTTGTTAGAGTTTATACAAAGAATCTTTCATCTAACCCACCTGCGCCAGGCGTGCATTGATCTCCGCGGGGGCGTTCCCTTGTGCATAGTACTCGTCCACATCCATGGCATCGCCCAGCTGCTCGTTGACCGCAAAGCCAGGATCTGTAGCGAGTACATGTAGAGCATGCGGAATGACATGCGAATTATTGACATTATCGTACACCTCGGCCTCCAATTCCCCCATCTCCAGTGTATTGTAGTCGTTTGTTAACCCGGTGTGGAGGCGAGGCGGCGGTCTAAACGGTCCAGCATTGTTGTTTAATGGTACTGCTTGAGTGCGTAGCACGGGGTTGTTGTTTATGGGGTTTGGGCGGTACTGTGAGGCTGACGCCTGCGTTGCTTTAAACGCATTCTGTTCCAGTTCATACAACTTCCCCGGTGGCAGGGAGTCGAACTCGTCGGAGCCGTAGTCGTCGTCGTCGTCTTCCATGCCCCCGCCATGAATGGACTACCAGAGGGAGCTGACAGGTTCTAACTTCACGGAAGGCTTTTGATCATTCTCGAGTTCGAGCGGTTCCGAGTGTGGAAGAGGAGAGAGCACGGCAGTTCAAGGCACCTGGACAACAACCCTGCACATCCAATTTCAATTTCTAGTCACGAACGTAATATCTGAAGGTCAAATAATGATTGATTCATTAATAAACCCGAATAGTACACCAGATATAAAAGATATAAAAGATACAAGCAGAAAAAAAAAACAAGTTGAACACGGGGCTGGAGCTGGAGCTGACCGCTCTCGGCACTTCACATGAGCTCATCAACTTCTAATCCGATAGTCCTCTCTCGCTCTCTGCACACTCCACTTCTATTGCCCAGACTCTGTTTCTGGCCCCCCCTTTTTGACATCATGTCGAAATCTCGCCGTAATGTTAGGTTTCAACACCGGTCGAATGATGAGCGACGCCCCAGCGTGTCCGACGTCAGCGATGCACCCTCAGAGCCCACTAGCCCCAGCAAAAATGGCAACGGGTCCAACCCATCTACAGTAACTGAACAGGTCGGTTTTCAGTGGGCTGTGACCTCAGAATCTAGGTCTGACATGATCTTCATTTCTAGAAACCCCCGCAGTCCGAATATGAGAAGAAGAAGCAAACCTTCATCACTCGAACGATATGGACTTTTGTGATGATCGCCGGTTTCTTCGCCGCGTTGTTCTCCGGTCACATTTATATTATTGTTCTAATTACTGGCATTCAAATCGTCTCCTTCAAGGAAGTCATTGCTATCGCCAGTATCCCAAATAAGGAGAAGAACTTGCGGTTCACAAAATCGTTGAATTGGTACTTCCTGGCAACTACTATGTATTTCCTGTACGGAGAGAGCGTGATCTACTACTTTAAGCACATTCTACTTGTTGACAAGGTGCTGCTTCCATTGGCGAACCATCACCGCTTCATCAGCTTCACACTTTACGTCATGGGTAAGTGCCTCGATTGTTCCCCTTTTACTCCACTAACCTCGGTTGATAGGATTCGTGTTCTTTGTCGGATCTCTGCAGAAAGGCCACTACCGATTCCAGTTCACCCAGTTTGCTTGGACCCATATGGCTCTTTATCTGATTGTTGTCCAAGCTCACTTTGTCATGAACAACATTTTCGAGGGCATGATCTGGTTCTTCCTCCCCGCTGCGCTGGTCATCACCAACGATATCTTCGCCTATGTCTGCGGTATCAGCTTTGGAAAGACACAACTTATTCAGCTTTCCCCGAAGAAGACGGTTGAGGGATTCCTTGGCGCATGGGCCTGCACCGTTGCCTTTGGTTATTTCATGACCAACTTGCTGATCCGCTACAAGTACTTCATCTGTCCTGTAAACGACCTGGGCTCGAATATTCTGACCGGTCTGGAGTGTGTTCCGAACCCGGTCTTCACATCGCAACCTTATTCTCTTGAAATCTTTGGCCTGAACAAGACCTTCTGGGTAGCACCCATTCAGTTCCACATCTTAGCCTTCGCCACTTTCGCTTCGCTGATCGCTCCGTTCGGTGGATTCTTTGCTTCTGGTCTGAAGCGCACTTTCAAGATCAAGGACTTTGGCGAGTCCATTCCTGGCCACGGTGGTATCACTGACCGCATGGACTGCCAGTTCATCATGGGCTTCTTCTCTTTCATGTACTACCACAGCTTCATTGCTGTCTATAAGGCCAGCGTTGGTGATATTATTGAGACCGCCATCAACGGTCTTACGGTTGACGAACAGCTCGAGGTCGTCCGTGGCTTGGGCAAGTACTTGTACAATCAGGGTGCCGTCTCAGAATCGGTATGTTTCCTTGAACCAATTACCATGATCGTCTTACTAACCTCTCCTAGATTCTGGATTGCCTTCTCACCGAGCTCAAGCGTCGATGAACTTAAAAATTGTACGGCATTCAGATTGAAAACACCACACAAATTTATGACACTCATATTTCACTTTCACTCTCACCATTCGAGGACGACTTTTCAACCCCGCGCTTCACCCTGCAACTCTCCTCCGATAGCTTCTTGCTTCATTCGGGACTTGATTTAGGTCTACCGAATATGCATGCCAGCCTTAATGCGTGCATGCATGATATGTACATACATGCGCCCCGCTCGCCTTATCCGCCTTTCAACACGGCATCAACACTCAACAAAATGACCCGTGTCAAGGGCCCTAATGAACGGTGTGAATAGCGAAAGTCTTCCACGCCGGAGGCACGGGGACAACTTTTCTTCTTCATTTACGGCTGTTTCCCTGTACTTTTGTTCAGTACTCTTTTTTTCTATTCTATTCTATTCTATTCCCTTCTTTTTCTGATTGATGTCGGGCCCTGAACCGAACCTAAATTTGATGACTGGTGTTGCTCGGTCCATCTTGACCTGGAGCTTTGCTATACTCCCGATGCGTGCAACAGACACATCTCTTTACAGAAGTGGTAGAAGAAGGGGGGCATGGTGTGTGTGTGTGTGTGTGTGTGTTTCTGGCAAATATGTCTCTAGTTTCGCTGTTTTTGGACGCGTCAAGACAACAGGCTGTAGATCTGTACATGGCTTTCAATTCAGGGTTTGAGGCTGATTCTTAATTTTCTTTCACTCCATATTTTGCCCCTCGAGAATGCGTTCGTGGGTACAGCAAATATCGCCCACTGTGTCGTCCTATAATGCGAAACCGATTATCGGTAGTTGAGGGTTCTTTTCATTGTATCTATCATATCTCGTCGCTGGTCATAGGGTGTCTGGGTATCGGGAAATCGTGGGAAAGAGGGTCATGATAGAGAATTTCCAGAATGTGAGTCTCGCGCCCGAGACAACTCAGTTCCGAAACTGTAGAGCAAGAAACCGGGCGTTTCGCCTAGTCCAGAAAAGTGGACAAACACCTCATCAGAACTGAGCAAGGATGCCAGCGTATCCCAACAAGAATCTGGACGAGCAGCCGATAGCGAGTCACCGTGACCGAAGGATTGTTCGGTTGAAACTGAGATGGGATATAGTATATGGGGACCCCATCCCAGCTCATTATCAACCCGCTATCATATTATCGGTTCACGGAACCAAGCAAGGCCTTTTCTGGCTGTGCTTCGCTGCATGAGGCACGCCAGGTGCCAGGAAGACACACAAATAGCAAGAACCATCTTTTACCCGTCGACTTCATATTCTTCCATTTCGACCTTGAAGTACGCCGCGACCTGTCGTCTTTCCTCATCTGCACATGCGGGATCGAGCATGAATCGAACGGCAGCATCACGGCCTCGCTCGCCTGTTCTCTGGCGGTCCCCGTTCGCAGCAATTGGTGTTAAGGGATGGGCAGGTCGCGGAGTATCTTGGCCATTGGCGCTAGTGCCGTTGAACGGTTTGCGTGGCTGGCCGATCCACGGGTGGTAGCGCGGGATATTGTGTTCGCTGGCTTCTTGGTTGAGAGGGATGCGGACTTTTAGAAACCGGTCTGCTGGGAATTCCGAGCCGACGGCGGTTAGTGAGCGGTGGTGGGTGTAGAGTTCTAAGAGGTCGAAGAGGGTCTCTGGATGGTTGTTAATGTGGCATCTAAGTGGATTGAATGCGACAACAATACTTACCCATTATTTCTGCTCGGCTGGTGCTCCACTGAGCATAGTCTAGCCCCGACTCCACTTGTTCGACGCGCTGGTCTAATAGTCGTCCTGCAAGCTCAAGGCAGGCAAAGGCCATAGTCGACGAGTTTTGTTTGATGGGTGCAAATGTGCGGTAAAGATCCGACGAAATGCGGTAGGCAAGATTGGAGACTTCGGAGTTCTGTAGCAGTCCATAATGCCGACCTAGCTTCATGAGGGTCTTGTGAGGATGCCGGGTTCGAAAGTCAAAACCAGAGGCCTCTAACATGAGTCTTTCGAGACCGATAATGCCGCGCGCATGGGCTTCGAACATCTGGCGACAAGCGTTAAATCTCTGTCTTGTATCGTCTGGGATCATGACTTACAGGATCATCAGCCGATAAGTGCTCCGAGGGCGCCACTTTCAAGTTGTGCTCTGCGCAGACAATGTCTCGCGATTTTTTGAGCGTATCTTCGATCTTGCATGCTGTGAACAAAGCCGCAGCCGCAGCATCCTATATCCCGGGTTAGGCTGATCTCCTTGAAGGATTTCCAAGTGAACTCACTGTGAAATTATACTCATTGTCTGGATGCACCAATCGAAATCGGTGGTAATATCCAACTGCTGTGTCAAAAGTGCGAATGGGACTGGATTTCCAGTCAGTCCTGATGCATTTTGCCTGGCTTGGAGTCAACTCACAGGTTGAGGGCTCTCCGCACGCTGTCGATCCACGCTACGCCCTGAAGACGCAATGAAGTCTCGCGAAGGGGATTAACGCTCATCGCTTCGATGCAGTTTTCAATTGTCTGTTCGAATATATATGGATTGGCCACCTGTATAAAAGACGGGTGGATGGCCGGGGGTGACAGGCCAGATTCCAGCGTTGAGCTCCCGAGAGGAGACTCTTCTCTCGTATTTGATGTCATGGCGGTTTCTTAGACTTCCTAGGGATATGGCAATATCGAGCAATGTCTTTGGAAGTTGCAAGATGAAGACGCGCAACAAGTGACTGGATTGATATATCGATCACGTGTCCACCTAAGAGCTCGCAATCACGTGCAGGACTATCGGGAGTATATTATTCCGAAGTGTATATCTGTCTCTAGTATCCACCATGACGCTTTATTTTCCCGAAGACGGATGTGCAATTAAATAATGCTGGAGATACCTGAATAGCAGCATACTGGCTCACAAATCCCTCAAGGAACCCCCCGACCAGCCCGTGTCGCCTTAGCCAACTCACTTTGAGCTGTATTATCCGCATATCTCTTGTAGATGGGAAGGTAATGCGCAAGATCACTGGTAGTCTCCTTGATACTCCGTCTGCTCTCAACAGCAGCCAGCCAAGTCCTCCATCGTGTCCAAACTCCCTCATCCGGACCACCTTCCCCCTCCCTCGGAATCCCTAATCCACCACTCTTAAACTCATCAAGCACCCACAGTCGTACCGCCCACGGAGCCAAAACCAGATCCGGCAGACTAATATCTTCACCAAGGAAGAACGGTCCCTCGCTGTGCATCTCCTTGGTCCAGGCTTTCAGGTGATTCAAAAACTCTTGCCGAGCCTGATCCAACCCCACATCTGCGTTCTGCCCAGTGCCATCTGCAGGCTGGTACTGCAGGAAACGGTGGAAAGATGGGATTATTCGAGATGTCACATAGTCAATCCAGATGCGTGCGCGGGCACGCTCGTAGGCATCATCTGGCAAGAAGCGGGGTTGGTGGTCTGGGTATGCTTCTTCCAAATACTCCAAGATCACCGTGGATTCGTACAGTGGCCGTGGGTGTGGATCTGCTGGTGTTGAGAGTGTAGGAACTAGGCCTCGCGGATTTAGTGTGAGTAGTGAGTCTGGCTTGTTGTATGGGTTGACCTCGATATATTCGTATGGGATCTTTTTCTCCTCGAGGGCAAGCCAGACTCGTTGCACTTTATTATGTTAATATTATTACTTATGGACGAGTGGCTAGAGACATACCAAATCTGTATACCTGGTAAGTAGTGGGTTGGTTAAAGTATAGAGGGGTCGTAGACATACGGACAGAACCACCCCGCATATAACTTCAATGGCTGTTCAGCGCGATGCTTATCGACCAGCGCCTTGGCCAGGCCACTGGCCTCGGGATATAGGTTGGAGTCAGGATGAGCTGACATTGTAGAATGCAAGTGGGTGTTTTCAAGGGAAGAAAGGAAGAAGCAAAGTTGGGCAAGTCGTGGATAGTAGTGTGACATCATATCTTAAGCATATTCGTGATTGGACATTATCTCTAGCGGGATATTGAAATTCAAAAGGATAGCCTTGCCAAAACCATCAGACTCTAGTCTTTTCCATACTTTCCGATCAACTGCTGCATAATCAACATAGCACCAGATCGATAGCCTCCACCAAAAATAGCATGATGATTCAGATGATGATACCTTTTTGGCTATATCAGTATACTTGTCCAACAGCAAGATATGAAAACTCACAATTCATACAATTCCACCCGATCAGCATACTCCGCCACAGGCTCAGTCTTCGGTACAATCCGATGATACTGATCAAAGAACCGAGCCCCAAATCCACCGAACATCTGCATAATTCCAAGTTCAAACTCACTATGTCCATAGCAAGCTGACGGATCATATACCACATCCCCGGGCGGCTCATCGTGACCCGAGCCAACAATCCGACCCCAATCAGCATTCCCACTCCACAAATCCCCATGAACAACAACAGGCACAATCCCCTTCCCCTCACCGGTGGAAGTATACCCCAAATGACCATCCCCAAGCAGCCGAGGCACAACCACATGCGCGGTCTTCTCAGCCGCCTCGCGCAGCCCAGCATCGGGCCCATTGCGCTCTTCAGATGTAGCTAGGATCGTAAGCAGCCGTTCATTCGCGTAGAACTCAGGCCAGCTGTCACAAAACCGGTTCGGCTGCTTGGTATCACCGCAGAAGGTTGGTACGGGGAATCCGAATCTGTGCCGGCCGGTGTCCGGGTCCACAGGTGCGGGCGTGGTATGCAGTCTTCCGAGGCGGTGCGCGAGCGTGACTTCGTCATCCGTGCTGCGGCCCATCTTGCCGCCGAGCTGGAGGAACTCTGTTGCGAGGAAGTGCGTTTTGGCCTTTGCACCTGGCTCGTCGAGTGGACCCCGAGCTAGGGCTTGCGGACAGAACCCTGGCACTGAGGCTGCTATTGCATTGAGAGACTCGGATTCGCCTTGGAACATTTCCTCTGCGGCTTTGCCTTTTGAGGATGTTTTTACAAAGTAGCGTCGCTCTTCTGTGCCATTTTTGGCGGGAATCTGGGCGTGGATGGTGCCTGTGCTTGTGAAGCCTGAACCTAATCCGGATGTGGAGAGGCTGACTTTTGATTCGGATGGGAGTGAGAGGGCTTGAAGAATGGGTTCTGGTACTGGGGACATTGCTATTAGATTTCTGGTGTTAGGAAGAATAGAATTGTTTTTTTTTAACTAGATGCAGAGACGCAGAGACGCAGAGACGTGAATAGACCGGATTGCAGAGGGCTATGACGTTTTTTCTCCACATCGAGCTTTTGTCACCATATGAAATGCTTACAGTTCCCATGTACATATTCGCCAAGTTGTATAAATCCTATATTTAGCTATGAGACGAGATGAGCTCGTCACGGTAAGCAAAAAAAAATTATGTCCAGATTTTCCTACAGTAGTCCCGATCCATCCAGCAACGGGTAACTCTAACCATAACAAAGATATCAGCTATGCAGGAGACAGTTTGTTCAGCAAATGCAGCGCAGTCTTTGTACGTTCCCTCGTGTCTAGCTCCGTGTCATCCTCGAGGCTAGCCAGCCGTTCTGCAAAGCCAAGAGAACGAAGTCTCACTGCCCGCTCCCGACAACCTTCATGATCGCTCTGATCTTCTTCGTAGATGAGGTTGATCACTACCCAGACACAGTTCGATCGAATGTCTTTGTTATAATGGTTGAAATAATTGCCTAGAAATCGCAGCAAGTTACGGTGGAACGCAACGATGCGCCGGTGGCGTGGGTGCCCGGCCGCCAAGTGGATGATGAGAGCGGCGGCTGCGTTGATGATCTCATTGGGAATGTGGAGGGACTGACTGCTGGAGTCTCGGCGGTGAGGCAGTTGGATGGTACGCGGTCGCAGTGTATCTGCGATGGCATCAAGCAAATCATTCTGACCGAGTTCTTTGAAGAGATATTCAATCATCTCAGGTGCATCTCGACCACAGATCATGTTGCGCAGTAAGTCGAATGCCTGCTCCTGGACGGCAATATCGTCCTGTCGAGACTGTGTGGTTTGAGCCAGAGTTCCGTGCAGAACGAGTTTGCGCCTACGTCTTGCATCAGGAAGGAACATGTCCAAACTCATTTTGGAAGGAGGCATGGTATCCGTCATCTTGAGATCCTCGTCCCACTCCACTGCATCATCCATGGGGTTCAGAATATCGACCTGTTCGCCAGCCGAGTTGGATCGACCCATGGCAAACCCAGGACTTTGATCTGTCTCCTCTTCTATCTCCCGTCGAGCCACTGCGCGGACGGGATCCTGGGAGATGATCTCCATAATCCATTCCGGGCCCAAAGTCTCGATGATCTTCATTCTGATCTCGTTTGCGGTGTCATAAACCATGTGCTTGAGAGCCCAGAGCGATTCGATCTGTAATTTGGTGTTGGATGAATGAGCGTGTTCGCAAAGGATGGGAATTATGTTGTGGGAAATAATCGCCTGAGAAAATTATGTTAGCTGCAAAGTTTGTGAACAAAATATAGACATCGACCAACCTCTTTCATGGGACTGAAGTCCAAGGCCAAGTTACAGATCGCAGCTGTTGCTGCAATTTGTACCTCGAGGTCAGAATGACGAAGAAGGGCAAACAGTGGCTTAGCCACGCCGGCATCAATAAGACTAGTTCTAAGCACGCTCACGGATCTGGTCAGCATCCGAGCTGTACCACAAGCAGCAAGAATGGTCGGAATCGGGTTTCCGTCCTCTGCAGTATTTCTGGGCATTGGAGCATCAGCTGGTGCATCACTAGGCCTTGGCTTGAGGGCGTCAATGATGTAAGGGACTACGCCATGTTCGCAAATCGCCTTGCGGTACTCATCCTTGAATGGGACTAGTGCTGCCAAAGCTTTGAGAATGTTCTCTCGGTAACGCATTACATGGCAAAGGGTCGGAGAGTAACCGGAAGGTCCGAGCCGGCACTCTTGTGGAAGAGACTCAATGTCCCGGGTTGGGCTACTCTCTGCGTGCCACATCGGCCGGGATGTCTCCGTGATTGGGTTGTAAGTCTCCTTGAGAAGTTGGGAAAGTCGCTTAAGCGCATTGCCTTCTACTGCGTGTTTCTGCAACTCCTGGTCGTCCATGACCAAGTTGGCTAATACCGCAGGCGCCTCTTCCTTTAAGCGCAAGGTCGACGAGAGCAGCCCATCATGAATAGCGCCTTCTTCATCTGGCAGTCGGACGTTCTTGTCAAGCATACGAATCAAGATGGGAATCAACAAATAACTGAACATTGGAATGCGATGTTTCTTCGCCAATCCTAACCGGAAGAGGGCCGTAACAAGACGGGCGGACATCAACCGTGTCATGCCATTCTCTGATCGGAGAATGCAGAGCAGCCATGGCACAATCGAATTCTCCTCGTCTTCTGGGACTGGTGTCTCAGCAAGTGAAAAAGGCATGGGGTAGGAATGGCTGTGTCGGCGCTGTGAGCCCCCGTGTCCCAGAGGTGGGAAATTGGCAGAACTAGATGATTTTGTGTGTGTTAGAGGAACCGACGGCAAAAGCTGTTCTATGGGGTTGGAGCCAAGATGACGGGGTACTGCGGAGCCCGATAAATATGTGGATCCCCAGGGAGCTTTCTTGATATCTGATGGAGCGAACCCAGCGACTTGTTTTGGAAACACCGTCACAATTCCAGGCGATGACAGAAAGTGCTCTGCCCTCCATTTCGACTGTTCAATGATGACAGCAACTGCGCGCAGGATCGGTGCTAGCTGGGCGGATTCGGGGGCCGGAAGTGGCAGATCCTCCAATGCACCAGGATCTTGAAGGCGATCCTCCGCGCCAGGCAGAACATATCCCTGGGCCACAACAAAGGAGGCAATCTTGAGCGCCAAAGCATCCAACACCCCGGATTCTGCTAGTGCCGTCTTATGGGTTTCCTCTGTGCATAGCTTGCCGATTAGAGCCGCTGCTAACTCGATCGTGGCCTGAGTACGCAGGTTCTTGTACTCCTGCGAGATTATACGTCTAAGAGAGGTAATATTTGCAGAAGCAAAAACAAGATCCGCAAGCTGTGTGTCCCGAGGCCATTGTTCCTGGCTTTGCAACGGTATCCGGTCTGCAATTGTGTTCAGAAGCCGTAGAATGGGAAGACAGAATGAATCTGGGCAATCCGGCGAGGAAAATATTGAAAGCAAGGTCTGGAGGATATTGCTCGCGAATAGTGGGGTGAGAAACGTCGGACCACCTGCTCAGTAAAGTCAGTGTCTGTCTTGGCAATAAGGATCTCTAGTCATCACGTACCTTGTGCCAAACTCCCGACAATTAAAGTTGCTTGAAGGCATGCTTCGTAATCTTCGGGGGCTTTTGGTGTGGACCGGCCTTGGTGCAATATCGATTCATTAAAATCGGCCGTTCCCGGCCATCTCGAGGTCAGTACCTGTGCCAAAGCTGGTATGATTCCCTCGAAAATGTAGGCTTCCTTGCGCTGGTCATGGCCAATCAATTCGTTCTTCAGAGTGCGCAAAGCTGTAATCTGAGAGGAGGCCGATTCGGCACTCTGTAACTGCAGCAGAATCGGCGGTGCGGCAGCTCGCGTCATCATCTAGCGATCACCCCCTCCCAACGGGAGGTTCTCGGCGTTTCACTTTGTTGGATCAAGGAATTAGTAGAGAAATTAAAATGATATTGAGGAAAAGATCTCCGTTGATGTGAAGCTTGTGTAGACCTGGATGTACAACATAGATATGATGGCAGACCGGAACTGTAGAGCCGGGCCTAGAGATACTCCGCACTTTGGTTCTGCCTAAACACACCGTTCCAGAAAAGTGGTCCCGGATTAATGAAGGAGCGACAACCTTACTGGTCTGAGGCTATAAATGTTTGTATAACGACACTTTACTACGGAAATTGAACACGCCGACTGCTTCTGTAATA